GGGTTATTCTTTTTTGAGGAGTGTAGAATTAAAATACCAGTAATAATGAACTGGCGCTGATTGACTGGATAGTAAACATGCTCAGTACATGAACAATAAGGATTGCTAGTGAATCACAGACAATTCAGATCATGAAAGGATGCCCGCAGGGTGGGGTTCTTTCACCTCTGCTGTGGAATATGGTCATTAATGAGCTCATCAGCAAATTAAACGCTAACCATTTCTAAACAGTCGGTTATGCAGATGATCTGACAATACTGGTCTCTGGTAAGACAGCAAGCATTGTGTGCGACCTGACCCAAACACATAGAAAACAAAATCAGCAAAGCTAGTTTAACTTTCTGGCAGTGCAGAAATGATTGGCAAACGATGGGGTTTAACGCCAAAAATTATACTGTGGCTGTACAAAACTGTAATTCGGCCCATGATCACATACGGCTCTCTGGTATGGTGGACCAAAACCAACGAAGCCACCACTATACAAAAGCTTCAGCATTACCAGAGATTAGCTTGTATAGCTGCCACAGGCCGCATAAGGACAACACCAACAACAGCCTTGGAGGCTATGCTGGAGCTAACACCGCTTCATCTACATATTCAACAAGAAGCAACTTTAGCTGCCATTAGACTCAAGACCCTAAATCTTTTAAGTAAGAGTAGAGTCCCCCATACAGATATAATCGATAGAATTTACTCAAAAATTCCTATCTTACAAGCCAAGTATGATAGGATCCCAAAACAATTTGTATTCGATAAGAAGTACAGGATACAATTGAAGGAAACTGATCATCTGGAAGGGTTGGGTCCAAGAGAGCTCAAAGTTTTCACGGATGGCTCCAAGACAAATGAAGGTGTGGGGTCTGGGGCTTTCTCTGAAGACCTTAATATCCATATATGCACACCGCTGGGTACCCACAACACAGTCTTCCAGGCTGAATGCATGGGTATCATCCAAGCGGCCATAGCAATAGATGCTAGGAAGGTAAGAGACTTCTCCATCAGAATACTGACCAACAGTATGGCGGTACTACAAGCTCTGAGTTGCAATATGACGAACTCGGGACTGATATACGAGTGCCATCAACGATTGAATGAGGTATGTAAGCACAACAATGTGACTCTGCAATGGATCAAGGGACACAGTGGATCTAGAGGCAATGATGCAGCAGATGAACTGGCCAGAAGGGGATCGGCCCTAGAAGTATAGGGCCGGAACCAATAATACCAATCCCCCTTTGGCTACGTTCGTTCACTGGTACGTAGATACTTCAATAATTACACGCTCAGCTTTGGAAAAATTTAGTAGACTGTAGACAAGCTAGGGAGGCCCTACCTGAAATAAACAATCGTCTAACCAAGGTCGTCTAACCAAGGAACAAGCCACAGATCAGGATAGTAACAAGTGATATCACAGGACATGGCTCTTTTAACAAACGTTTGTTCACCATAGGTGTTACTGACAGCCCCCTGTGCAGGGCATGCATGGGAGAGGAAGAAACGGCGCCTCACGTGTTGTTGACATGTCCAGAAGTCGCTTCATACAGGGCTAAACATCTCGGCACGCCAGGATCGCTCCCCGAAGTTGCTTGCAATATCAAGGGACTGCTGAGCTTCTTCGGGGGAGATATCATGGCTCGAATAAGCATATTATTCCTGCCCACACGCAAAATACGCGCCTAGACGTGGATTTGCGGAAAACAGCCCGTTGTAAACTAAACTAAACTAAACTACTAGTAATAATTTTCGAATATCTATATTTCATATTTTTGTGGGCTGGGTTTTTTGTCAACTATAGACATCGTTGGCGCTCAGAGCTGTCAGTGCTGGTTAAGTATAGGCGACTTTGGCGCTCAAAAGGTTAAACTATTAATACACTCACCGGCACGGAAACTTGGCCAAGCGGTTATCTCGCGATAGCAAAAGCTTTAAGTGTTTCTGATGAATGTTTGTTATGCAAATATGTCAAAAAATGTTTACCCTCAAGTTCAAAAGGGTAATTCATTATGTTTAAGTGCACCATGACGAATTCTTTAATTTTTAGTTGAATCGGGTCATTTGAGCGACTAAGTTCACATTTTAAATTTGTGTGTTGTGGAAAGTTTACTGTAAGGTTATTCAATTATTGTGATCTTGTGTCTTAATTAAATAACTAAAGGTGCTTTAAAGCCAATAAAAATGCCATTAACACCAGCACAAGTTGCACAAGCAGTAGCATTAATTGACCAAGGGCTGACACAGCGTGAAGTTGTTATTGTTCTTAACGTACCACGGTCCTCAATGCAGTATTCACTGAAACGATACCAGGAGACAGGCCGCTACACCCGCAGGCCAGGCAGTGGGGGCGTAAGGTGCACATCGGCCCGGGACGATCGTTTTATTGTTATGGAGATTTTGAGAAACCGCTACCTGACCGCTGTTGAGATACGCCAGCGGCTCCAAATCGCAAGAGGCGTTAATGTTAGTGAGCGTACGGTGAGAAGACGAATGGAGGAAGTGAATTTAAAAGTTCGTAGACCAGCACGAGGTCCAGAACTTCTCAGACAGCACCGAGTAGCCCGACTTCAGTTCGCAAGAGAACATGTCAATTGGACCCACGAGCAATGGGCTAGAGTGTTGTTCACAGATGAGTGTCGAATAGCTTTACGTGCTCCAGACGGTCGAGAACGAGTGTGGAGAAAAAGAGGAGAGAGGTTTCTATCCATTACCACCACCCAAACTGTGAGTTTCCATGGAGGCTCAATAATGGTATGGGGAGGTGTAAGTTCCGACACACGTACAGAGTTGGTCATCGTCGATAATCGGCTTACAGCTACTCGATACATCGTGGAAGTTCTTCAGGAGCACGTAATGCCTTATTCGGGATTCATTGGACACGACCAATTCCTCCTCATGCACGATAATGCACGCCCGCACGTCGCACATTGTGTAGAGGAATATCTGGAAGAGGTTGGAATACAAAAATTACAGTGGCCAGCTCGTAGCCCGGACTTAAATCCAATTGAGCATGTATGGGGTATGCTCAAAAGAAAGATAAAGTCCAGCTCCAAACCGCCACAAACTCTAAATGAGCTCCGAAATGCAGCGCTGGCCGCTTGGGACAGCATACCGCAAGTTGATGTCAGAAACATCATTCAAAGCATGCCAGATCGAATGCAAGCGGTTATCAGGGCTAGAGGAGGAAACACCCGATATTAAAACTGATAGACAATAAAGGAACAGACTTAATTTTTAACTTTGTAGTGTTTTTAAAGTGACAATGGAAAGATGTTAATTTTAGTGAAAACATGTTATCTTGAAAAGAAAAATTTCGGTGAAGTAAACATTAAATTTCTATGTTCTAAAATCATTAGAGACACTTATTGAATGCATCTACCCTTAATTTACTGTTAAAAAAAACGTTTCAGTGCAAATAATCAGCAAATTCACGAGTGGCCAAGTTTCCGTGCCGGTGAGTGTAGCTTATGTACCTACATCTTAAATCTAGACTGATATTGTTCTGTGAAGACTGCTATATAGCTAGTTTTACCGTTAAATGTAGGTGATTACTATAACTAAGACTAAAAAATAAATAAATAAGTGATATATACTAAATTATTTATTTCAATCCTACCTACTTAGTTAAGTAATGATAGTTTTCTCAACCCAACATAGAAATAGATAGAAAAACAAATTTATAAAAAGTAATATGTAGCAATTTATTTATTCTGTTACGTCTTGCTAACTCGAGTTGTCTTTTTTCCGAGTTGGCACACCTTTAATACTGACACGATTATGGCAAGCGCGGAGTGGTGAGGGGGACACGAGAGGGGCATCGCATTCCAGCAAGGTGCAGAGATATTGTGACTAGGCCTGGGTCGTATCGCATTTTCTGAGAATCGAATCTATATAAGATTTCGAATTTCAATATCTGATGTCAAAACTATATATTTCAATATCTATATATTCTGAGTACACGTTTATGCTATTTTCTACTCCAATATGCTGTTGAAATCGTATATAAGTTTGTTATTCAAGATCATCCACAATCGACTTCTTACTTAGCAGTATTTATGCCATCTAGCGTCATCTTTACATACCTTAAAGCTAATTTTCGTTCGATAAAATGACTTAAAATGGAGTAGATGGCGGTTTACAAATCAGTTTTCCAAAGAAAGTATTGTTTTAAAACATCAATACAAGCATGTATTCTTTTGATTTATTTCATTAAAATTTAGGTTTCACATGTCTAAAAATAAGGATTGTACAATTATTTGCTATACTTAAAGTTAAACTTATAATATGCAATATTTAATACTGAACTTGTGGTTGAAAATTATCATAAAACTAAAACATTTGCCGTTAAATCTTTGAAGTGTTGAAAACGCTTTGACTTAATCAAGTGATGTTAAACATATGTACTTCCGCACATTATATTATTTATTTTACATTTTTATCAATAAAATATATTAAAAATGGAAAAAAACAGGGAAGTTAATTAAAGTATTATAGTGATATAAGATTTAAATTTTTCGAATGTCTAATCCAATACCCATATACTCGCGCACTGTCGCACACGGCGAATCTAGCCACCGACCAATGCGGAGCGATATAGGTATTGCTGCGGTATATCAGATTTTGTATAGTATATAGTTATGGAACGAATCTAACAAGCGACCGATTCGAAGTGATATAAGCATCACGGCGGTACGCAAATATCAGATTTTGTAATACATAGTTTTGGAACGAACCAGTAAGTGGTTTTTAGATATTGTACCAATATATAGATTTCGTATCAGTATACGGTTTGCATCGCCCACCTCTAATTGTGACAGTCTTATAGATGTCTGTAGGCCACAGCATCCACTTATCATGTGGTTTACTGTGTGCTCGTTTGTCACTCTTATTCTATATAAAAATATGGGCTCTGTTTATTTATCACCCTTATTCTTTAAAAAATAGTTTCTTCAAATGACTTTCAAAAAAGTGGTAAGTATAGCTCTTAAAATAGTAAAGACACAAACCTCGCCTCTTGCACGGCTGGCATTTAATTTCCTTAAATAATTAGCAAAAGTCGATCTGATATTTGTCCACCGATTTTTAACAGCCTGGCCTGTAAATTTATCACCATACTGTGCCGCAAATTCAGCATAAGTTTGATCTCTGTCTTCCATTGATGTATATTTTGGATGTTTAGGATTCCAAATATTTGGTTTGCTTTGAATAAAGTACACAAGTTTTAGATTCATTTTTCTCGTCCAAAAAACTTTTTCTTTAGCAAACTCCTCAATCATGATTTCCATATGGTATTGATAATAATAAGTAGATTTGATTGTTGTACATAATTATAAGTTTTTACTTTTTAACTTTGGTTTTTTAAATAATTTGAAAAAAATAATTTTTTTATTAACTGGCTTTACGACTCTGGGTTCTAGCCCTTCCGAGCCTGATCGAAATAGTCGTAAATAGGTACATACATGGAGGTTAGAAAAAAGGATCAATAGTCAATATAATAAAATTCATTATCATCGGCAAACATATAATAAATAACTAGATATTTGTTAACTTCTTCCCATTTTTTAATCACTGTTTGATACTATTTTTTATTAATTTGTTTAATTTCATTAATAGTAAACCATACACAATATTACTTATTTTTTAATGCTAACAACACCTTAGGTCGCACTGTGTTTAGAAAAAAGACCCATACAAACCGATATTTAAACGATGAATCTCACCACCATCCTTCACAGTTAGCTACCGTGGGCAAATGTTTGTTACAGAGAGCACGAGGGATCTGTGACAGAGAATACCTGGCTGCCGAGCTTCAGCACGTCAAGCAAGTTCTGCGCGACAAGAAGCTTCGGGTCCCGCACCTACGTCACAGTAACCGAGTGAAGCCGGCCACAGTTGAGCGTGTGCCTGCTGTATTAGCATATGTCAGATGTGTCACAGACAAGATTGGCTACATTTTGAAGCGAGCTTCTATTAAAATATTCTACAAGCCGCCGAAGAAGATTAGTCAGTTCTTACCATCTGTCAAGTGTCACATTCCTCTACAGGATGCAGGAGTGTACAAGCTTGATTGTGAATGTGGTCTCTCATATATAGGGCAAACAAAGAGATCAATTAGAACCCGCGTAAAAGAACATATAGCTGACGTGAAACATCAACGTTCCGGGAAGTCTGCAGTTTGTGAACATATCCTAGGTGGCCCCAACCATTACATCAGATTTTATAGACCACAAATCCTCGCCAGAGAACATCGATTTCTACCAAGGATGATACGTGAGGCTATTGAAATTAAAAAAAAACACCTTAATTTCAATAGAAAAGGAGGCTGGGTACTACCTCCTGCTTGGGACCCTGTAATTAATAAAATTAAAACTAAACTGAAGCATAAGGCAGTAGATCCAGAGCTTGTATAATTTACAATAAAAGTATTGAACTTTTAGCTGTTCCAGAGTACTGCAATGATTACCTGGTTACAGCCTTCATAAATCTCAAGAGGTGCATAGGGGCTAGAGTAACCATTCGCTCAGCCTATTTTCCCGGTGAGAACGCAGATCCTACCATCAAGTTAGAGCGAGTGACGGAGTTCGCCCGGAAACACAACGCTGAACTTGTGGTGGGTTGTGATGCTAATGCTCACCACACAGCCTGAGGAAGCACTAACATCAATGAAAGAGGTGAGCTACTTTATGATTTTCTCATCTCTAACCGCCTGGTAAGCCTAAACTTATGCTGTACACCAACCTTTGTTACGCGTGCTAGGCAAGAAGTGTTAGACATAACCTTTGCTACTAATAACATATCCAGGCGGATAAACGACTGGCATGTTAGTAGTGAAAACTTGATGTCTGATCATAAACACATTAAGTTTGTGATTGGAGCATCACCAACCTATGAAACTGTTGCGTTCAGGGATCCAAAAGCGACCTCCTGGGATATCTACAGATATAGCCTAAGGAGGAATCTGGAAACGTTTCCTAAAAGCAAAACGATTAGCTTTGATCACTTCTATGCCTAACGCCCCTTGATCTATATCTAGACAAGGAGGCGAGGGTTAGTTTGTATAGGATTAATGCCCAGAGCGGTCTGAACTTACTCTCCCACAGATTGAGATCCATGCCCGACTCAAATAAGGAAACACCGGTCTTATGCATGATCTCTGATATGCGTCTTATGCATGATCTCAGATATGCGTCTACTACGCACTTTTGATAAAAAGTGTATAGTGGAATTACCCTCCAAAGAAAACTAGCTGAATGGCCAGGTTATCTGTGAGGTCGGTAGCCTCATATAGTATACCGATTGGTCTAAAATGGGCCTCGACGTAAGGTTTGGAATTTACGGGGAACGCCCCAAATTCAAACTTAGTATGAATTTGGGTAGATTCACCTTAATCGTCCAGGCAGACATTTTTGCCATACTTCAGTGTGCAGAAATCAATCTGCAAAATAACTACGTCAACTATATAATTTATATAAACTCTGATAGTCAAGCAGCACTGCTAGCACTTAGGTCAAATTTAGTGAACTCGAAGCTAGTTGGAGACTGCGTGAACCGTTTAAACGCCTTGGGATGTAACAACAGGATCGTTTTACGATGGGTTCCGGGTCATGCGGGTATTGTAGGCAACAAATTTGCCGACAAACTTGCACGGAGGGCTCAAAGTGCACAAAATTTGGACCTGAGCCATTTTGTGGAATCTCAAGAAGCCTAGCCCGATTGACTCTTAAAACTCTATCACAATAAATCACTTAAGATCTGGTCTGACACACCAGGCTTAAAACATTCTAAAAACTTGATCGGGGCTTTTGATCGTAAATCCGCTTCAGAAGCCCTGGGATTAAGTAAAAATAAATTGCGCATTCTGGTACGAGCTCCAACTGGACACTGTTGTCTTAAAAAGCACATGTCCATCCTGAATCTAAACAACTCAATGATGTATTTGTTCTGTTCCATAGCGGAAGAAACGCCTCTGAACATCCTAACTGATTGCGGACCCTTAATGCGCAAACGTAACACTCATCTGGGAAACTATGAACTCCGCCCGCCCACAAGAAGTGAAATTGCTCACGGCTAAGCAACTTGTCTTTTCATTGAAGACATAGGGCTTAGCAGTGAACTACAGCCATAGCAGTGATCACAATAGATCTTTTAGATTGCGGTGATACTGTTCTCTTTCCCTAGACCTGTATAGCTGCTCGCACATAATAAAAAAACCCAAGCATAACATTGCAAGACTTGAAGACCTAGTAAGTTCATTCTGTATAGATCGGACCATAAACAATAATTTAAAAAGCTGAAGGTACTCCTGATTAACATTGACGTAGGGACGTCAGTCACCTCAGTCCCCCGTGAGCATGGGTGCTGGAAAGCACCTGAAACGTCGGGAATTAAAAATATTTCATATTTGACGCGTTAAAATCCGTAATAGTAGTTTTAGTCAAGACAATATAGTTTTAATAATAGTAATAATGTTTATTTCAGATATATGTAACAAAAATGTGTATGGATATGTATCCATACACATTTTTGTTAGTAATTTACATAAACTATATGAGTAAAAAAAACTATAATAAAATAAGAATAAAATAAATTACATCTATAGAAAGAACGGACGTTTCTTTTTCAGAGAAGTAATATCTGTTGATTTATCTCTCAACGTACTTGGTTGTGGCTCCATCATTAACCACTCTTAATAAAAAACAATTATCCACAAAACAAAATAACAATAATTAAGTAAACAACAATTACTAAATTTGTTTCCTGACTGTGTGCGAACCCGTCTCGACCCTGTCTGTGTTTTTGCCGGGAAAACGAGACATTACAGCGAATAGACAAGATGGAAAGAGATAGATAATAGATTGTCAACTCCACAGTCGCTTGTAAAGTAATTGATGATACGAAAAGTATCGCTGCTGGTTGGCCTTATAGTAGTGCAATTTCTTTCAGGTATATAGAAAGTACTCTGCGGCAACTTCCATAGTCATCTATGTCCATGATTTTCACTCATGGAGGTTAGATAACAGGAGAACGATCGCTACGTGCTAAAGCGTAGCCCGCTTGTCCCTTAAAATTTGTAGAATTAATAGCCGCGCTGCCGTCGGTAAGTAGTGCCTGCGAAGTAATTTTTTAATTTTTGTCAAAAAGAAACATTACGAAATGGTGAAATGTTATTAAAGATCATAATAATAATAATAAATCATTAATAATTCATAATTTATATCTGTAATAATTTATAACATTCATACTAATTAAAATTATAAAAAACATAATTTATAATTTCTTTATTAATAATTAATAATAATAATTTCGTTATTTTTTCATTTCAAACTAGTGCACAACAGTCCGCTTTTATTGAGACAATCACAGCGATGAGCGATCACAGCGCCTTACTTATTTTGTCCATATTTCTGGGACACTATTTTTTACAGCTATCGTTCTCCTGTTCTCTAACCTCCATGGTAAAAATTATAGTATGTAGTCTGTAGTAATAAGAAATGTCAAATTTTAAAGTACCTACCGTTTGTCTATGGCTATGGTCGAAAAATTGAGTATAGCTTGCTACATATTTATTTATCTATGCTTGCTACATATTTATTTATCTATGATTGAGTACTTTATGGGTATGTTCCGAAATACAACGCTGTGTACTGTCCAATGCAAATGACGTCATGAATCGACGCTATACTGGTGATTCGTTCCAAAACATTGGACAGTATATGACGTCATACTTTTGCGCCATTTGGAAAAGTGTTGGAGATTATTTTGTCATTTTGTGCTCCAAAAATCATTATATCCTCCTAATGGATATACCATCAATTATTCTATAATTTTTTGTATTTGAATAAATAGAAACAAATTCTGGCATGCTTCATTCGGTAAACACACAATTAAAAATTGTTTTATTATGGCCGGATATCCGACACAATATGGTGGCGGCACGCTAGTACAATAAGTGTCAAATGATACGTCATTTGCATTGGACAGTACACTCATAGATAAATAAATATGTAGCAAGCAAGAGTACACTGCGTTGTATTTCGGAACATACCCTTTGTATACAGTGAAAGTAGAAAATAGGTTCCAAATTCTTTCTTCTTAAACATATTACTAATTAATTTATACTAAAGCTAAACTGTAAACTCTTTGGGACTACAGTTTTGGATTTGATTGCGTGAAGTTAAGTTTGGTTACGTTAAAGTGTTAAACTCCGTGCTTATCCTCTCACTCTCAGCCTCTCACACTCACATTCAAAATTTTTTATAGAAGTTTATATAATGAAGAATACTTGTTGTGTTCCGCATTGCGAAAGCAGGCGTAGTAATGTTAAATTACATTGTTTTCCAAAGGCTGAGATAGGACTCAAGTGGGTGGAAAATATAAATTGTGAAAAATTGAGACACCTCAGTTCAGAAGAGCTATCTAAGTTCTTTGTATGTCATAAGCATTTCGAGGCGAGGTTTTTTACCGGCAGTTTGCGTCTTCGCCAGGTTGCTTATCCCACATTATTTACGGCTAGCGAAATAAATACTGGAGTACCTGATATGGGAATGGAGAACTATGGTAAGCTACTTATTTTTTTTATGAGGGACGCCTTGTTTGATCTTGTATTTTTAGTATAATTCAACATAACTTCATAACAATTCTAAGGTTCTTGCAGAATAATCTGTCGAATTGATTGGAATGAGTGTCCATTATAGCTAATCTGCTTCAATAGATATTATTACATCATTACATTTAAGTCTATATTGCAGTCACATTAACTTGACGCATCGCTGGAATGTGAGGCCCCGTCCACTAGCCCCCGCACTGCCTTAGCTCACCTGGCAATCGTCAGTATGGTTAGCATCTCTGTTACACTGTTGCAAATGACGTCATCAAAGCCATGCGTCAAGTTAATGTGACCGCGTTGTACAACAAAATAACTTATTGAATAAAGTGAAATCACTGTTACAAAATGTTTTGTATAGTCACATTATTTATTAATCAGATCAGATCAGATTCTGACATTGCATCAGACTAGGGATGTTCGATGATCATCGATGTTAGAAATTTAAAGATCAATGTTTTAACATCGATGTTGCCACATGCTAAACATCGTAACATCGATGATGCCACATGTCAAACATCGAAACATCGATGTCAATGAGCCAATAACTGATTAATAAGAACTTGTGAACAATGCGAACCCGAGAAATCAATATCAACTAAATATTTCATCTCCTATTAAAGGTTTAAAATTTTGAATAATTTAGGATTCCTAAAGGCATCAATCACCTAAAAAATATTATGTTGTGTCAAACTCCCTCTCAAGTGTGAACCGCAATGTCACAGTTGTCACTGCTTTTGCTTTGTTATTATGTCATTGTCGATTGTCGCCTAATAACTATTCTACAAACATTGATATACAAATAACGTTTTTTCTCTTGCTGTTTATACACACATAATTCTGAAACAATGTGTATCTACACAATCCAATTATATTTAGCTGTTTTTTTTGAGCTTGGGATATTTAGTTTATTGTTTGCTTGAAGTTTATGAAAATAAATCACTGGGCGATTGTGAGCATAGACAATTTCACTGCATAGTGCATTTTATAAACGGCTTTGGATACTTACTGTTTGGGCTGTCTGATAAAAAATAGTGAACAAAGGTAATGGAAAAGTCTATTATTTTGTTTTTGTGAAGTTTGCTAATTCACCCTCTATAATCATATTTTTTTTATTTCGCGATAGGAGTGGTTAATATAGAACCTACGTCTAAATCGTAAATTAGGTCTCATAGTAAATTTTTTCGTAGATTTTTGGTTGTATAGGAACATTTGAAGTTCAAAATAATAACATTAATCATTATCGGAAAAAAATATAACAAATTAACTAAACTTTTGTTAAGTTTTGCCCAATTTTTAAATTACTAATGCAAATAATAAGCACTAAATGTTTTATAAATTTCTTTTATTTCATTAATAATAAACTATAAACTACACTAGCACTTTCCAACATGAAATTCGAGTGAATGTTTGGGCTGGAATAAAAGACAATATTTTAATTGGGCCGATAATTTTACCAGAAACTATGAATGGCCCAAGATTTTTAGAGTTTTTGCAAACACAGTTTTCATTAACTCACAGAGCAAGGATGATTCTCCAACTTGACGGTGCACCTGCACATTTTGCAGTAAATGTGCGAAGTTATTTAAATGAGCGCTATTCGCCGTGGATTGGTCGCGGTGGAAGGATCGCTTGGCCTCTGCATTTACCGGATTTAACTCCCTTAGACTTTTTTCTATGGGGCATTATGAAGCAAAGAATTTACGCGAATGTGCCAAACTCACGAGAAGAGTTGATTAATAAAATAATTGAAGTTGGAAATGAATTACGACAAGATCGGGAGAATATCAGAGGTGCAACTCAACATGTTGCAATAAGGGCTACAACATGTCTCCAACATCGCGGAAGTCATTTCGAACAGTTATTTATAAAAACTTTTTAGTTACATGCATTTTGAAATGTTGTGTTTCACTCTTCTCATCAATTCACTTTGTCTTTCTGCAACCAGGGCGACAAATTTTTCAAAGGTCATATTCAAACAGTTATAATACTGTTTTTTTTGGTTACTATTAAGATTTTTATGTTTTTGGTTAGGATATGTTCTGATCTATCTGATTAATGTAAAAAATCATTAGGTAAATGATTTACTTTTTTCATTAAAGTCGAAAATGTGAAAAAATAACCGATTTTTTTTACATATTTTTTCTTTTCTAAGTCTTTAGGATCTAAATACAATTTTGCAGTTAAAAGTTTGCTTTTATTTTATTACGCGTATCTTTATCTATCTAATGAGGCATCTTTTAAGAATGTAGGACTTCTACATCGGTGAATATTGTAATTTCAATGCGCGGGGTCGAGGTGGTGAAAAATTTAAATGGCTGCCATTTAAATATAGCTAGGTCTAAAAGGTTCCGGTTCCGGTCATTGAACTGATTGGACGTGCGTCAACGTTCTCCGCGAATATATACTCGAGTTGTGTGCAAAAACAAGTGTAATCAACCGTATTTTACCTAAGATTGCTGAACAAAACAATAACGGGCAAAATCCAGAAGTAAAAACAGTGGAAACCAACATAAGTGAAAAATTGTACAACAAACATTCTTGAAACATAACCTAAAATTGCAAAATCATTGAAGGGAAGTGAACAACACACCATAGACAACTTTCAAGAAGTGACATTAAAAAGTGTTGCCTACCAGAATTAAATGTTACTTAACGGAACCTAGTGTTGCCAAACAGAATTTAGGGCTGCCAACTAAAGTACAGTGCTGCCATAACAGTAAAATTTCCCTAAAAAAAAAAAAAAAAAAAAAATGGAGGAAAAGTATATGGATAAGCTAATATCAATACTAGATAAGAAACTTAATAATCAGGCTCTTCTAATAACAACTTCAGTTATGAAAAATGTAATGGAGGCGCTTGATGAAAAGATGAAACTTATTATGGAAGAAAATAGTAGCCTCAAAACAAAAATATCTGAATTAGAAATGGAAGTAAAGTTTTTGAAAGATGAAAAAAAGGAAAAATAATTTAGTATTTTTTGGAATAGAAGAAATAGGAAAAACCGAATGTGAGCTTGTGGATTACATCAAGGACGTCATAATAGACATGGAAATACACTTCGATAGTAATGAAATCAGTAAAATATACAGAATTGGGAAACACGTCGACAACAAAAACCGCCCGGTCGTAGTCACTATTGCTACGCTATGGAAAAAGCACCTGATATTGCGAAACAAGTCCAAACTTCCACAAGGAATATACATTAAGGAAGATTATTCTAAAGAAATGCTAGAAAAACGCAAGCAGCTACAGTTACAGGTTGAAGAAGAAAAGAAAAAAGGAAATGTAGCATTCATAAGATACAATAAATTTGTAGTAAAGAAAAACAAAGATAACTACCCAGAAAAGAGAAAAAGAGAAGAGTCAGGTTCACCAAACAACTCAAATCAAAAGAAAGCTACCACTACCGTTTTCAAGACACAAATCAACTCAGCGACCAAAACTGTAGGAAAAGACATTATAAGACCTAACATACTCAGTTATGTGGAAAGAGGAAGTTCAGCTTTGATATCAGAAATACCAAAAAACCTGTAAATGACATCGACACCCGGAACCGAGACAACACAACATCAATAAAACAAACTTTTTCTAAAGGCACCCCAATCCGGCCAGTCACCGTGGGGGAAGAAGACTATTACCCTCCAACTAATTTCCAATTACACATTCCTCCTAAAAAACATCGCCAAATGGCAGATAAAATACACATTGCGACATACAATACATTGTCCTTAAGAACTCATGAGAGTCTAATGGAACTAATACTAGCTCTAGAAAATGTAAAGTGGTCAATACTGGGTTTGAGTGAAGTACGACGACTAGGGGAGAGTATAGAAGACCACGGGCATTTTATATTTTATTATAAAGGAGAAACACCAGGCTTATATGGAACAGGATTGTTAATAAAAAATGAATTAAAACCATTTATTGACGAGTTCATTGGCATCTCAGAGCGTATTGTTATACTTAATATAAAACTACCTCCGAAAAATGAAAAGTGGTCGATTGTGCAAGTCTACTCTCCAACTGAACAATCAAGTAGAACAGAAATCGACACGTTCTATTCTATGTTACAGGACGCAATAATCAAACACTCGCACAACAATTTAGTAGTGATGGGAGATTTTAATGCAAGAATAGGGGCAAGAGGAGACGGAGAACAAATGATATTGGGTCCGTATTGTTCAGGCAAAAGAACAAGAAATGGGGAGAAACTTGTCCAACTGGCATATGGAAACAACTTAAAAGTACTAAACACTCTATACAGAAAACGTGAGAACAACAGATGGACATGGATATCTCCAGATGGTCACCACAAAAACGAGATAGATCACATACTAACAAACAAAAGTAAAGACTTTCGGGACTGTAGAGTTTTAAACAATATTAATTTCAACAGCAACCACAGGATGCTAAGAGCTAAGTTACAAATAAACACACTCAATAAAGATAGACCCTTTAAAGTAAAACAAACCAACAGCTTAACACTAGAAAGTACCGATTCACTAAAAGGAAAGATAGAACAATTCATAGAAAAAACAAAGGACTTAGACATACAGAGTAAATACAATAAATTCGAAGAACTCCTCTATACTACTAAAAAAGGCAAAATGGAAAGTAGAAACAATAAGACAAAATGGATAACAAACAAAACTAAAGAACTGATAAGAAGTAGAGCAGACCTTATATCTAACCCTGAAAAGACAAAAACTATAAGAAAAGACATAGCTAATTTAAGTAATAAAATAAAAACACACATGAGAAAAGACCGTCAGAGGTATAGATTAGAACAACTGGAAAAATGCATACAAAGAACCGGAGGCACCAAAAAAAACAGCTAAACTACTATTGGAAAAACGAGATTGGATACCAAATTTAATAAACAAAAATCATAAATGCGAGAAGCGACGCCCTGAAATCATATCAATAGCCACTCAATTTTTTGAAGAATTGTATTCAAGGAAAAACACTGCACAGACAACAATCCTAACAGGAGGAAGTGAAGTACCAGATATAATACACGATGAAGTAGAAAAAGCTGTGAGAACTCAAAAAACAGATAAAGCCCCAGGATTAGATGGCATAAGTAACGAGTTCCTCATCCTAAATAGAAACCACCTGATACCAATTCTCAAACATCTCTTCAATGAAGTCTTACAAAGTGAGATAATACCTTACCAATGGACAACGTCAACAATAGTACTTATACACAAAAAAGGAGATAAAAATAACATTAATAATTATAGACCTATAAGTCTATTGTCGAATATATATAAAATCTTCGCAAAAGTTATACTCTATAGAATAACTAGCACGTTGGATGAAAATCAACCAAGAGAGCAGGCGGGTTTCAGGAGCGGATACTCAACTTTAGACCACATTCATGTCATCAAGCAACTATTCGAAAAAGCCAATGAATACAACATAACCTTTTACTGCTGCTTTGTGGATTACAGTAAAGCTTTCGATACAATAGAGCATGAAAAAATTTGGCAGACACTCAAAAACCAAGGTATTGAAAATAAATACATCAGAATACTAAAAAATATCTACGATAACAGCAAGGCTAAGATAAAACTAGAGAAGGAAGGTAAAGATATTATAATAGGAAGAGGCGTACGTCAGGGCGATCCGCTATCGCCGAAACTCTTCACAGCCGTTTTGGAAGAAGTCTTTCGTCAATTAGACTGGGAGAAATGTGGACTGTCCATTAACGGCGAAAACCTGTCACATTTGAGATTTGCCGATGATTTGATAATCCTCTCGTCATCGAGTGACGGACTGCAGGCGATGTTGAATGACCTGGTCAGAGAAAGTGGCAATGTGGGATTGGTCATGAACACATTAAAGACCAAGGCTATGACCAATGGCAAGGAAGAACCTATTCTGATCAATAATAACCTGATTGAATATGTTAATGAATACATCTATTTAGGCCAGATAATCTCTCCTATAAATCTAACCTCAAAAGAAATTGACAGACGCATTGGAAATGCCTGGAAACAATTTTGGAGCCTAAAAGAAATAATGAAAAATAACGACACTAACATAACCATCAAACGGAAACTCTTTGATACCAGCATACTACCTATACTCACTTATGGCTGCCAAACCTGGGCACTCACTAAAGCACACATTAAAAAGTTAGAAACATGCCAAAACTCCATGGAAAGGAGTATGATGGGGAAAAGACTATCCGATAGAATAAGAATCGAAACCATAAAGAAACACACGAAAACAAAAGATGTCACAATAATAATAAAAAAGTTAAAATGGAAATGGTCAGGTCATATAATTAGAGGAAAAGAGAAATGGTCGAAATCAATAATGAATTGGTTTACAGGTCATATGAAAAGGAAAAAAGGTAGACCATGTAGAAGATGGGAGGATGATATTAAAGCCATAGCAGGAGGCATATGGACGAGAACTGCTAAGGATAGAAAAGAATGGGAAAGGTTGGAGGAGGCCTTTGCCAATAAGTGGCATACAGACAGGGTTGTCGATGTACAATAGTTAAGCGTTGAGAGTGTAAATATATATAATATATAATCCAGTGTTAGATATAGATTAATCCAGATAGATACTGTAAATGAAAATGTCTGAAATAAAGGCTATTATTATTATTATATATAGGTCTAAATGAGATTTGAGACATGATTTGTCGATGAAATTGATTATATTTTATAGCATTAAAAGCTCCGACACCGGTAACCGGACACATTGTATATGTCTATTCATGTCATTATATTACTTAAAACTAATATTGCATAAAACAATTTATAAACTCTACTTAAAACAAACAAATTAAATAAGCAAAATGGCGGATTGTGTCAGCGCTACTGAAGTTAGCAAACATGTCCTGGCCGAAAACTGTTTAGTTTCACCATTTTGCTGACAAGCGCTTGCTAGCGCTTTTTTCTGCCAAACGCACCCAATGTGTGGAACTTATCAACTTATGTGGCACTAATACTGGCGTCATTTAATAAACTGCATCAGTTTTGCAGGTCGATTTAGTATTTGACAAACCGTGTAGATGGCGCTGTTACGGAATTATTTTATTATTCCTATTTGTTTTACCAGATTTCTACCTTAAAGCTTCCAAGTTATTTGAAAACATTTAAAATAGGAGTATTCACCTATAAATTAAAAAAAAAAAAACTTTGTTGTTTTTTTACTGTTCAAGATTTTCTTCCGATTTTTATGGGAAATTTCAAAGTTTTTGGAAAAATTGTTGTATAGATGGCGCTTAACATATTGGGAGCTGTACAAACTGGCATAAAGAAACAACTACAAAAGCCTTTAAAAATGTCTGTTGTTTAGATCTGCAAATCCTTGATTAAAGCAACAGTAATTAGTAATTTTTATTAACTTTGCAAATGTATGGTACTTAGAAATCTGGTAAAACAAATCTCAAAAATGAAATAATTTTGTAGCAGCGCCATTTATACGGTATGTCAAGTACTACATAGACCTGTAAAACCGACATAGTTCTCTGACATATGACGACATAGTTGTCATTTAAAGTAAATTCCCTTAATTTATAGAAGGTTAATTTAGTAACAAGACTAGTTCTAATAACATTTTTAGGAGTTTACTTGTACAATTCTTATAAATAACATTTAAAAAAGAATTGTTCTGAGGGGTCTAAAAATCTGGCATTTGAGAGACCAATGTTGATCACTAGGACTACACAGATTAAACAAGTTCTATAAGTATCACCTAAGTCTTCGTATTACAAAAAACAATAGTTGAGCAGATTTGTAATTTTCTGATATTTAAATCATTTTCAACACATCACATTATCAACTAATTTTTGTTAGTCTTATTGTTAGTTACTCCTTTACATCAACATTGGTTTTTGAATAAAAGATTATCTAATTTTTTTTTATAAAATAACTATTATTTTATAATTTACTTATTTCAAGATAATATTTGACTCTTATTTTACAATGCTTATGTCTTTCTATTCCATCCATGTCTACAGGCTATAAGTCTATTGTTGAACATAGGCCTACCTCATATATATGCCATAGTTGCCACACTTGGTAAGCAGGTTGCAGCTGCAGTATTTTTATTATTTGGAGCTGTTATAAGTAAGATGCTGCTGCCCATCTCTTGTTTCATTTTCCCTTTGTTGACTCTTACAACAACCTTGAGACGATACACACTTATGTGTCTTTGTTAGGTTGTAATTAAGGAATTAATGAATGTTTCTATAATGGTTTGTTTTATTCAAATCCTTTTCATTTCAGAATACCAAAATGTTTCTTATATTCGTGATTATAAACCAGTCAAAAAAACACACCATGAAGATCATTCCTACTTCAAAACACAACCTTTAAAATCACAAGGTATTTATTTTTCTGTCTTATTATACTCAGCGGAATGATTGTTTTGCATGGATGCTTTTTAATGGTTTAGGTGAAAGAGATCATTATTGCAGCCTAGAATAACAATATAAAACTGTTTATATTTATTGGTAAATAACCATTATTGAAAGATTTAAATTAAATTTAAAAATTTAAACCAATAATTAAGATCACAGCAACTTTTGCTGGCCCATTACATTAACTTTGAGTACATGTATCTTTTAAATCAAAGCTGTGGTTGCTCTTATAAAAACAGCTATAATATGGTATACCGGACAATGTACTACAAAGTGACTATCATTTTGAAGTCAATAAATTTAAGTAATTGGCCTGCTGTTCACCATTAACTATAAAAATAATTTTCCAGATTACAATGCATCACCATCCGTCTATAAACATTTTAAAATGACAGAACAAACAACGGTATGTCTACATCATGACAAAACTGGTAAATATAATTGTAAAAATCATAAAAAAAGCATCTTCTATAACAACAGTAAAGTTTTAAAAGAAATTTGGCTTAATTGTTTTTTCTCTCATAATATTACAATTGTCATGCTATTGACCATACTTTAAGTAATTTTTTTTATGTTTTAGATAATTCGCTAATCACTAGCAAGGACTTAAAAAAAACTGCTAATGACCAAATCGATCAACAACCGATAATACCAGGTAACTCAACCAGATTATTAATACACAGTGTAACTTGGTGGGTGGATCATCGGTGACTGGGAGGTAGAGGACCTCAGGACCTATCAACTTAACCTCCATGTAAAGTCACTGTTACAAAATGTTTTATATAGTCATATTATTTATTAATCAGATCAGATCAGATCCTGACATTGCATCAAACCAAATCTGTCAGACTTATGGTCAAGCCAGACCAAGGTCTATAGTAATTTTTTTTGGTTCTGTCAACTATTGTGTGCGTTTGGCAAAAAAAGCGCTTGTAAGCAAAATGGCGATCGTAAGCGGTAAGCGCTGTCAAATTGTAAGTAGCTATTTTCCTCTAGGAGACGAAGTTAGTTTTAACCGGGGAACCTAGCCTAATTTAAATATATGTTTGTAAAGTATTCATATTAAAAACTTACCAATCATTAATTTTTAATAACATGTACATATTATGTCTATTCATGTCATTATATTACTTAAAACTAATATTGCACAAAACAACTTATAAAGTCTACTTCAAAACAAACAAATTAAATAAGCAAAATGGCGGATTGTGTCAGCGCTACTGAAGTTAGCAAACATGTCCTGGCCGAAAACTGTTTAGTTTCGCCATATTGTTTACACTTGCTAGCGCTTTTTCCTGCCAAACGCACCCAATGTGTGGAACTTATGTGCCACTAATAATGGCGTCATTTAATAAACTGCATCAGTTTTGCAGGTCCATTTAGTAATTGACAAACCGTGTAGATGGCGCTGTTACGGAATTATTTTATTATTCCTATTTGTTTTACCAGATTTCTACCTTAACGCTTCCAAGTTATTTGAAAACATTTAAAGATGGAGTATTCACCTATTAATTAAAAAAAAAACTTTGTTGTTTTTTACTATTATTCAAGACTTTCTTCCGATGTTATGGGAAATTTCAGAATTTTTGGAAAAATTGTTGAATAGATGGCGCTAACATACTGGGAGCTGTACAATCTGACATAAAGAAAAAACTACAAAAGTCTTTAAAAATATCTGTTGTTTAGATCTGTAAATACTTGATTAAAGCAACAGTAATTAGTCGTTTTTATTAACTTTGCAAATTTATGGTACTTAGAAATCTGGTAAAACAAATCTCAAAAATGAAATAATTTTGTTTTGTTTTTGTTAATTTAGTAACAAGACTAGTTCTAATAAAATTTTTAGGAGTTTACTTGTACAATTCTTATAAATAACATTTAAAAAAGAATTGTTCTGAGGGGTCTAAAAATCTGGCATTTGAGAGACCAATGTTGATCACTAGGACTACACAGATTAAACAAGTTCTATAAGTATCACCTAAGTCTTCGTATTACAAAAAACAATAGTTGAGCAGATTTGTAATTTTCTGATATTTAAATCATTTTCAACACATCACATTATCAACTAATTTTTGTTAGTCTTATTGTTAGTTACTCCTTTACATCAACATTGTTTTTTGAATAAAAGATTATCTAATTTTTTTTATAAAATAACTTTATTATTTTATAATTTACTTATTTCAAGATAATATTTGACTCTTATTTTACAATGCTTATGTGTCTTTCTATTCCATCCATGTCTACAGGCTATAAGTCTATTGTTGAACATAGGCCTACCTCATATATATGCCATAGTTGCCACAATTGGTAAGCAGGTTGCAGCTGCAGTATTTTTTATTATTTGGAGCTGTTATAAGAAAGATGCCTGCCCATCTCTTGTTTCATTTTCCCTTTGTTGACTCTTACAACAACCTTGAGACGATACACACTTATGTGTCTTTGTTAGGTTGTAATTAAGGAATTAATGAATGTTTCTATAATGGTTTGTTTTATTCAAATCCTTTTCATTTCAGAATACCAAAATGTTTCTTATATTCGTGATTATAAACCAGTCAAAAAAACACACCATGAAGATCATTCCTACTTCAAAACACAACCTTTAAAATCACAAGGTATTTATTTTTCTGTCTTATTATACTCAGCGGAATGATTGTTTTGCATGGATGCTTTTTAATGGTTTAGGTGAAAGAGATCATTATTGCAGCCTAGAATAACAATATAAAACTGTTCATATTTATTGGTAAATAACCATTATTGAAATATTTAAATTAAATTTAAAAATTTAAACTAATAATTAAGATCACAGCAACTTTTGCTGACCCATTACATTAACTTTGAGTACATGTATCTTTTAATCAAAGCTATGGTTGCTCTTATAAAAATAGTTATAATATGGTATACCGGACAATGTACTACAAAGTGACTATCATTTTGAAGTCAATAAATTTAAGTAATTGGCCTGCTGTTCACCATTAACTATAAAAATAATTTTCCAGATTACAATGCACCACCATCCGTCTATAAACATTTTAAAATGACAGAACAAACAACGGTGTGTCTACATCATGACAAAACTGATAAATAACATTGTAAAAATCATTAAAAAACATGTTCTAAAACGACAGTAATAATTTTTTTTAAAGAAATTTGGCTTAATATACTTTGAGTTAAAATTTTCTTATGTTTTAGCCAATATGCCAATCACTAGCAAGGACTTAGAAGAAACTGTTAATGACCAAACCAATCGACAACCGATAATACCAGGTAACACTATAATACCAGATCACATTTTAGTCTAAACTTTGCATTTGCAGCCGAACTGTTAGGTCTGTGACTGTGATTTTTTTCCAAACAAGATAAGTAGAGGGTCTTTTGTACCTTTAAACCAGACGGAGGCTTAGATCTCTAAAAATTCAAATAAAAAATTATAGCAAATTTTTTTAAATCTGATGTTCGCATTTACTTTCTCTGGTTCTAAAACAAATATTTCACAATGATTTTGATGTCAAAAAATTAATGCAATTGGCCTGCTGTTCACCATTCACTATAAAAAAAATATTTGTTTCCAGATTACAATGGACCACAAACAGCAGTGTGTCTACATCATGATAAAACTGGTAAATATCATTATAAAAATCATTAAAAAAAAAAACATGTTCTAAAACAACAGTAATAATTTTTTTTAAAGAAATTTGGCTTAATATACTTTGAGTTAAAATTTTCTTATGTTTTAGCCAATATGCCAATCACTAGCGAGGACTTAGAAGAAACTGTTAATGACCAAACCAATCGACAACCGATAATACCAGGTAACACTATAATACCAGATCACATTTTAGTCTAAACTTTGCATTTGCAGCCGAACTGTTAGGTCTGTGACTGTGATTTTTTTCCAAACAAAATAAGTAGAGGGTCTTTTGTACCTTTAAACCAGACAGAGGCTTAGATCTCTCAAAATTCAAATAAAAAATTATAGCAAATTTTTTTAAATCTGATGTTCGCATTTACTTTCTCTGGTTCTAAAACAAATATTTCACAATGATTTTGATATTAAAAAATTAATTCAATTGGCCTGCTGTCTTCACTATAAAAAAAAAAAATTTGTTTCCAGATTACAATGCACCACAAACAGCAGTGTGTCTACATCATGATAAAACTGGTAAATAACATTGTAAAAATCATTAAAAAAAACATGTTCTAAAACGACAGTAATAATTTTTTTTTAAAGAAATTTGGCTTAATATACTTTGAGTTAAAATTTTCTTATGTTTTAGCCAATATGCCAATCACTAGCAAGGACTTAGAAGAAACTGTTAATGACCGAACCAATCGACAACCGATAATACCAGGTAACTTAACCAGATTATTTATACACTGTGTAAATTGAGGGGTGGATCATCAGTGGCTGGGAGGTGGAGGAACTCAGTATCTATTGATTTAACCTCTCTGTATGTAATGTGATGTTCAGTGGTTCAAAGTTATTTGACTTTAGTAAAAAAAATTGTCAAAATCACATTTTAGCCTAAACTTAGCAATTGCAGCCAAACTATTGGGTCTGCCACTGTGATTTTTTTAAAACAAGTTAAATAGAGGGTCTTTTGTATCTTTTAACCAAACAGAGGCTTACATTTATAAAAAAAATATAGCTATCGTTTTCAAAATCTGATGTTTGCATTTATTTACTTTCTATGGTTCTAAAACAAATATTTCACAATGATTTTGATGTTTAAAACTACTTTTACGGATTTTATCGCGTTTATTTTTACTTTTTATTTACTTTTATTTTTAATTCCCGACGTTTAGGGCGCTTTCCAGCACCCATGGTCACGGGGGACTGGAAAATGCATGGTGCTGGAAAGCGCCCGAAACGTCGGGAATTAAAAAATAAAAGTAAATAAAAAGTAAAAATAAACGCGATAAAAATCCGTAAAAGTAGTTTTAATCATGTATAGTTTTCGCGTAAATATAAGAAATCATAATGATTTTGATGTTAAAAAATTAATGCAATTGGCCAGCTGTTCACCATTCACTATATAAAAAAAAAACTATTTCTTTCCAGATTGCAATGCACCACCATCCGTCTATAAACATTTTCAAGTGACAGAACAAACAGCAGTGTACATCAGTGTACATCATGATAAAACTGGTAAATATAATTGTAAAAATCATAAAAAATCATCTTCTTATACAACATTAATAATTTTTCAAAAGTTTTGCCTTAATTGTTTTTAACTTATAATATTTCAATTGTCATGCTATTGACCATATTTTAAGTTAAAATTTTCTTACATTTTAGCCAATATGTCAATCACTAGCAAAGACTTAAAAGAAACTGCTAATGACCAAACCTGTCAACAACCAATAGTACCAGGTAACTTAACCAGATTATTTATACACTGTGTAACTTGATGGGTGGATCATCAGTGGCGGGGGAATGGAGGACCTCAGGGTCTATCGATTTAACCCCCTTGTGTGTAATGCGATGTTCAGTGGTTCATGTGTTATTTGAACTTTAGTCTAAAATTTGTCAAAATCACACTATAACCTCAACTTCGTGATTGCAGCCAAACTATTCGGTCTGCAACTGTGATATCTTTTTAAAACAAGAAAGAGGGTCTTTTGTACTTTAAACCCAACAGAGGCTAAGATTTATAAAAATCTAAATAAAAAAATTATAGTAATTTTTTTTTCAAAATCTAATGTTTGCATTAACATTATATGATTCTAAAACAAATATTTCACATATTATTATTTTTACAACCTATCTTAAAAATGACTGGGTTTCATGAAGGATTAACCCTGACAATTTCATTTGGCTAGTACTGGGGCATCATGTTGAAAAATGTACTTAAGGCGACACCGTGAAAAAATGCACCTCCTTTCATCGAATAGTATAGGACTATGACACCACTAACGAAAGTGGGATTTTGATATAGGTAAATTCATGTCTTTATCTTGAATTTGATTGCTCAAAAACACGATTGTATAATTTTGACTCGATCATAATTATTTGCGAAAACACCTCTAAAAATCACTATACTTGAAATTACAACGAAATCATTTGATCTATATGCTTGGGAATCACTCAAATATATTCATAACATCAATATTCGTAATTTACTTGCTCATTATTTTGATAACTTAAATCAATAATTTTTTAAAAAATATATTAAGATTCTGACAATTTCTAAGCGCTTTTAATAGTCGAGGGCTCTACGGAATTTTAGACCTTATGACGGCGTTTCTTCAAGTTTTTATAGAAATTATGTATTCACTCGGATCAGTACGGCGATAGCGTTTTCGATGTGTCGTCTTGCACAGTACGAAATGACAGGAATGGGTCCAAAAAAAACACACGAATATATACCGTTAATATATTTATTATTTTTGACACGCTTATTTAAAGTATATGTGTCGCCTATAATGGAGCTCAATTTGAACATTTCAAAATTTTTATTTAAAATTTCTTTTGAGCCTGCGGAATTATTATTTTTTTCCCTTAATCTTCATTTGGGCCTGGTTCAGTTTCAGCTATGATTGTTCCATAGAGGTGTATTTGCTTTTTTGCACCAGCTCTTGAAGAGTGGTGGTAGCCAGATGGTTATCGCTCGCTGTAAATTTCACAGTACGCGAGCAAACCGTGTCCGATCCCCGCCTCCACCAATGAAATTGCTAATTGCATTTACAATTTTAAGTGCTAATTTTACCACGTGCTCGGCGGTGAAGGAAAACATCGTGAGGAAACCTGCATGTCTGTGAAGTTCACCAACACAAATTGGGGCAGCGCGGTAAACACTTCTTTTCCCTAAAACCCTCTCAAAAATTAGGGTCCCACCTGATTTAATAATATTAATGAGCTATTTTAACATGCTATAACTTTAACACCAGCTCTTTGTAATAACCCCAAATGAAAAAATCTGTGTGTTTGAGGTCTGCAACCTTAGAGGGCAGGCTATTGGCCCACCACGGCCTATCCATCTACGTGAAAAATTTGATTAAAATATTTCTATACATTCAGTGCGAAGTGGCATGGCGCTCCATCGCATTAAAATACATGCCGCTCCGTACAGCCAAGTACACTTCTTCCAAAATGTCAGGCAAGTTATTTTGTAGAAATTACAAAAAATTCCAAGTATGCATTACCGTTTATTCTGACTGGTAACTCGGAGGGCCCGATCAACTGTTTGTTGAACACTCCTGTCTATAAAAGTAAAGTAAAGTAAAGTTACAGCCTATATACGTCCCACTGCTGGGCTCAGGCCTCCCCTCATTTCTGAGAGGGTTTAGGGCAAGGAAGTGTCCGCCGCGCTGCCCAAATGCGTGTTGACGAACTTCACATGTCCTCGAAATATTTTTTTCTTATTCCTCAGACATGCTGGTTTCCTCACGATGTTTTCCTTCACCGCCGAGCACGTGGTAAATCAGCACTTAAAATTGCAATTAACAATTTCATTGGTGCCGGCGGGGATCGAACCCGGGTTACTCGCGTTCTGTTATATTTACAGCGAGCGTTAACCACTGAGCTACCACGGCTCTATAAATTAAACCTCTCCTGTCTATAAATTAACACTAAACTGGTGTTGAAAATTGTGGTGGCGAAACGCGTGTACGTTTTCAAAACTCCATGAATGGTAATTGTGCATATTAAATTTTCCACTGCGCCTAAAGTTTGACTCATCTGTCCATATTGTGTTGTCAAAAAAAACTCATCAGCGTCGCATCTAATTATCTAACTAATCAAAAACTAATCAAAGTTATGAGTAAAATATTTAGATGGGCTTATCCTTCCTTTTGAAATCATTGTGTTTATTTCACTTGTATACGTCTGAACAATTCACAATATACACAAATTAGAGTTTATTTATTATAATAATATGGTTGGGTGGCAATCACGCAACATTCTAGAATCTCTTCTTTCCCCTCTCACCCCACCACCCCGGTGTGTGCGGAGGGACGATAGGTTAAGGAAAGGACAACGCTCGGCAAGCATACCCTCGAATAAAATTAAAATACGAATTGTTTTCGGGGCAACCATAATAAATGTTCACAAATTGAGAATAACAAGAGAAAGAATACACAGATTTCGGACAGAATACAAACGCTTTTAAAGTTCACCCTAACAGTACATTTACTATCACAATACAGTTCATAACAACACAATTTTTAAGCAGAAGGCTAACACAATTTTTGTAAAAATTTAGGCTTTTACTCATTTAGCAACTACATTTTATATTTAAGGAAACGAAGTGAATAGCGCTTATGACAGTTGTCAGTCAGAACTATCTTTTTAATTTTATTACTCTTTTGACAAAAATTTTACTAGTCTAAATTAACCACTGAATATCGCATTACATAAAGAGGGGGGGGGTTAAATTGATAGTTACTGAGGTCCTCCACCCCCCAGCCACCGATGATCCAACCCTCAAGTTACACTGCGTAAGCTTTTTGTATTATTATTATATACTATAATAATGTTTTAACATTTTGTTTAGACTATAGAATATAGAATCTCGTAAAGACTACTTTTCCATAAAGAAGTTTTTTTTATAGAAGAGGGGGCAAACGAGCATGCGGCTCACCTGATGTTAAGTGACTACCGCCGCCCATGATCAACCGCAACACCAGGGGAATTGCAGGTGCGTTGCCGGCCCTTTAGAAAGGAGTAAGCTCTTTTCTTGAAGGTCCCCAGGTCATATCGGTCCGGAAAAATCGCTGGTGGTAAACTATTCCACAGAGAGGTTGTACGCGGAAGAAAACTCCTCTTGAAACGTACAGTGGTGGACCGCCAAGCATCCAGATGGTGTGGATGGTATCGGGACGTTTGCCGCGTAGTGCGTTCACAAAATTTGGCGCCTGGGATTAATCCGAACAATTCCTCAGAGCACTCTCCATGGTATATGCGAAAGAAAATGCAAAGAGATGCAACATCTCTTCGCAGTGCCAGTGAATCGAGCCGATCGGAAAGCACTCGGTCGTCGGCGATTCGAGCCGCTCTGCGCTGGATGCGGTCAAGTGGAAGGAGCTGGTACTGGGGAGCCCCAGCCCAGAGATGGGAACAGTATTCCATGTGCGGCCGAACCTGCGCCTTGTAAAGTTGCAGGCGGTGTTCCGGCATGAAATACTGTCCCGCTCTGCTGAGCACCCCAAGCTTTTTAGAGGCCAATTCGGCCTTCTCTTCCAAATGACCACGAAACTGCACGTCACTCGATATGTCGACGCCGAGGATTCCGATACTGGCTGAGGCAAAAAGGGGAGTGCCTTGAAACCGAGGAGATACGACAAAGGGGTTCTTTTTAGCGGTTAACGCGCAAACTTGTGTCTTCTGGGGGTTAAACTGGACTAGATTTAGTCGCCCCCAATCCGAGACTCTGTTCAGCAAAGACTCGACTTCAGACACAAGATTGTCCCGGCACTCGGAGACGTTTTCCCGAGAAATATTGGCACGGCCGGTGTACAGAGCATCACAAGTGCTGTCATCTGCATAGCAATGAATGTTACAGGTTTGCAACACATCATTGATATGCAGAAGAAACAACGTTGGCGATAGCACGCAGCCTTGTGGAACACCAGCATTAATAGGCTTGTAATCGGAGCTTGCACCGTCTACAACGACCTTGATGCTCCGATCTGCAAGAAAGCTGGTGATCCAATTGCACAATTTCTCGGGAAGCCCATAGGAAGGGAGCTTCGAAAGAAGCGCTTTGTGCCAAACCCGATTGAAGGCCTTCGCAATATCCATACTAACGACCAATGCCTCCCCCTTGGACTCTACTGCCTCCACCCATCTGCGAGTTAGGTAGACCAGAAGATCACCAGCTGACCGACCACGGCGAAAACCGTATTGGCGGTCACTAATCAACTGGTGGTCCTCAAGATACCTCATGAGCTGGCAGTTTACGACTCCATTGTTTTGGAGAACAAGGAGGTGATGGCGATAGGCCAGTGGTAGTTGGACAGGTCTGAGCGGTCGCCTTTTTTAGGGATCGGGTGGACGAAAGCCGTCTTCTATGATTTTGGAACTACGCCTAGGGAGTAGGAGTACCGGAAAAGACGCGTTAAAACCGGTGCCAACTCTGGAGCACACGTCCTCAGCACAATTGGGGGGATTCCGTCAGGCCCACACGACTTGTGGATGTCCAGGGAGAGGAGTGCTTTGCGAACCGAGCGCTGTGTGAACTGCACTTCCGGCATGGAGCACTCACACCGCGGGATGGTCGGCGGCGTACTCCCCCCGTCATCGAGAGTCGAGTTGGACGCAAAGAAAGAGCCTAGCAGATCGGCTTTCTCCTTTGCGGTATGGGCCAGTGAGTCGTTCTCCCTGTGCAGAGATGCAAGAGATGGCTGACAGAAATTCCCCTGGATAGCCTTGGCGAGAGACCAGAATGCACGGGTTCCAGAAGGAAGGCGAACTAGTTTCTCGCCAATTCTGCCTATGTGCTCTGACTTTGCCCTGGCAATAACTCTTTTGAAGGACCTAGAGGCGGAATTATACTTCTTTTTTAGAGCGCTGGTGTTTACATCCCGGACGCTGATGCGTCAGCCCAGGCTTGGTAGCACTCCTGCTTATAGCATGATGCTATTTTTCAGGAGCGACCAAACCATGCCTGAGATTTGCCTCCAATGGGCACCACAGAGGAAGGAATAAAAAGTTACATACCCTGAAGCACCACATCAGCGACAGAATCCGCAACAACGTTGGGATCGTCCGGCGAGAAGCAAACCCGTCCCCAAGGGTAGGATGCAAAGAAAGACCGCATCCCATCCCAATCGGCTGACCTATAGTGCCAAACACAGAATTTCAGCTAGTGGCACCACACTCCGAACAAGACAATGCTCCGAGGAGCCTAAAGGGGCGTCGACGGAAATCTGATATCCGTCCGGGTGAGAGGTCAGCAGAAGGTCCAACATGGAGGGTGCATGATCCTCCACATCTGGAATCCGCGTATGCGAAGTAACCAGTTGAGTCAGACCATATGTCAAGGCAAAATCATGAACAGATCTCCCCGCATGATCGGTTAAACGTGAACCAAACCATTCGGCGTGATGGGCGGTAAAGTCGCCGAGGATCACGATCTCTGCGGAGGGGATCTGCTGTAGCAACGAATCTGTAGCCATTTGGGCGTGTTCGAAGAGTCGGTCTGTTTCGGCATTACCGCTATGGGACATATAGAGGCACCCGTAGACGCGCGGATGGTCGTCGCTATCTACGCGTAGCCAAAGGATGGACAGGTCCGAACCTTCAAGTTTGCCAAGGCGTCGAGAACAGATGTCCTCTCTGACGTAAACGCAAACTCCAGCCCGAGGCACAAAGGAGTGTTCCAGTTTGTACCCCGGGTAGGAGAGATACGAGACATCAGCCGGAGAGGACACCTGCGTCTCGGTCAGAAAGAGCAGAGCCGGCCTCGCCGTCTCGAGATGGTAGTGGACGGCGTTTAGGTTAGAGTGAAGTCCCCTGATATTGCAGAAATTCACGGACAGTGTGGCAGGGGTCCCCTTGGTCTTGTTGCTCCGTTTGCCCCGAGCAGTTGTAGTCTTGAGCGTAATTTTGCCCCCCCCCCCCCCAGAATACTCGGGGCAGCCTGAGCACCCACGCTCAGAAGTGGAGAAACATGGTCGTGGATGCTCAGCGAGGGATTCTCCAGGGGTGCTGGTACCCTCCTGGGGTAGTCTATCATTATTTAATTCCGCTAACATGTTGATGGGGGGGGGGATTTGGGCCTCCGCCCACCTGCACTCACCAGACGAAACGCGGAAGCAGAGCTTCCACTTCACGCCGGCATTCTGTGAGGTCGTGGTACCACCCCGGATTGAGCCGGGCCATACGTGCAACAGCAAAGCTGCCGCGTGGCTCTACCACTGTTAGCTACTGTTAGAAGTTTGCCATTATAGAATTTATACAAAATTTTCTATTCTATAGTTTAAACAAAAGTCAGTTATTCAATGGATTAATCATTACAAAACTTTATTTTGATAACTACATGCCAAGCGGATGTCGGTAGCGTAAAAATTACTATTATTGCTATATATTACTCGAAATTATTTACGTAAAAAGATGAATTATATTCACACAAAAACTCATAACAATTTTGTAATATAAAAAACTGTTCTTAACTTAGAAAAATCCAAAAATCAACGCAACAATGTACTACAACGAACACTCGAAAATAACGCACTTTGAATGTAGATTATAATGAATATCTATAGACTAACTGAATTTTTATTCAACTAGAGGATAGAAAATTTCATATTGATTCTATAATGCCAAACTTCTTCATAGAAAAGTAGTCTTTAAATATAAGTTTTTATGGGTTATAGTGCTGTGGGAGGGTGCAATCTCATGAGGCCGCTAGGGATTTGACGGAATATGGCCGCGGTCTCATGAGACCGCTAGGGGATTTATCGGTTAATATAAATTTTTTGTTGTGCAGATTTTCCACACTGTAGTGATGAAGTGACACGTAAAAACTGCACCCGGAAGAATACTACAAGAAATAAAACATTTTCACCAACCTATCTGAGAATAACGAATGAGTTTAAAAAACCTAAAAAACAATTAAGTATTGATAAAAGAGCCAAAACGGCTAGGAAGTTTTCCGAAAAGGAAAACTTTGAGAGATTGACTAAAAACCTGAAACCCCTTGCGAAAAAAATGCTATGGATGCAAATAACGCAAAGTAAAAAAAAGTCAAAAGGGCGGAGATTCTCTGACGAGGAAAAAGTTTTTGCACTTGCTATTATGAAACAAAGCCAAAAAAGCTACAGATTTTTACGAAGAATATTCATTCTTCCTTCCATAAGGACCATTAATAAATTAATTAATAAGTTAAAAAAAGGATTCTTGAATAAATCCTAATATAGTAGGTAATTGGAGCCGACCTATTCGTGGTACATCCATAATATAGCTACAGCGTGGCTATGCACGCTAAAAACTACTACGACGTCCTCTTAACATGTTAAATAGTATTGAATAAAACTAGTTTGCGGATTTTATCGCGTTTTATTAACTTATTTTATAATTATATTCCCGACGTTTCGAGTACTCACTCCATGTTCATGGAGAATTGAGGTGTTTGAACTCCCAATGTCATAGTTAACCGCGGCAATCTTCAGTTTATAATTAATAGGTCTTTACCTATGAAAATTCAGTTCTGTAGTTGTCGCCATTTCAAATTTTGTTTGGCTAAAATTTCTAATTTCAAATTAATTTTATTTTTAAAACATAAAACTCTTTTTTTTTTTAATTAGTCATAGTTTTCATCGCATTTAAATTTTTTTCGTTATTAGTGATACGTTAAAATTCGAGTAGTTATGGAAAAAAAAATAAGAGTACCGTCGTGGCAGCAACGCGGCACAAACATCAACGGCATTTACGGAGCGAATACTACAAACGAACGCACCACCTGTTATTGATTTGCCTGCTTCCGTTCTGGAAATTTCGACCTAAAAAATGAACCACGTGGTCGCCCGAAAACTTTGGTGGACTATGATGAATTAAAGGCGACTATGTAAGCTGATGAGCTACATACAGCTGAATTAGCAACAGCTTTCGATGTTAGCTTCAAAACAATATTGGTTCATTTCTGTCAAATTGGCAAAAAAGCTTATCATATAGGTGCCTCACGAACTCAATGATTGCCAGCGCGAGGTACACGGCGAGATGTGCCTTGCAATGCTCAATTGCAAGCAATTGCAACAAACGAAGGAATTTTGAATCGCTTGTTGGGTGTCTTAGTACATTATTATGTTAAGTTGATTAATAAGTAATTAAATATTATTATTTAATTACTAATATATTGTATATATACATTACAATAAACTAAATAACAATGAACTATACAACTAAATAACAACTATAAATATTAACTAACTAAATAGTTTGAAGAAACCGTGTAAAAATTATTAGGTATATAATATTTTATTAATTATTAGGTATATGAGTACAAAAAAAGAAAAGTATTAAATATTAAAATTTAATTTCCTGTAGTGTGTGTGTGTGTGTGTGTGTGGTGTGTAATATATAAGCGTGTAATATATATTTAAACAATAAGTTCTAATAGTTTTTTTTTTATAGGAGAGGACAAACAAGCATCGGCTCACCTCATGGTAAGTGATTACCGCCGCCCATGACAAATTGCAACACCGGGGGAATTGTAGATGCGTTTCTGGCCTTTTAAAAAGGAGTAGGCTCTTTTTTTGAAGGTCCCTAGGTCGTATCGGCCCGGAAAAATCTCTGGTGGTATTCAGTTCCACAAGGAAGTTGCGCGAGTAACTTTTCTGTCTGTTCGTGGTCTAATGATTTAAGCCATTATTCTGTTTTTAGAGTATAGTGCTGACGTACAGTGAGCAAGACAGAATCTGTAAAGTTCGTTTCTCTAACCTAATCACGTAGGTTTTTGCTGCACCACCCCAAAACGTTACGCTAAAGTTAATAATAGATTAACGTAAGGCAGTATAAACAAATTTTATAATCCTGGTACCAGCTAGGTGACGAAGCGCCTTAAAGCACCGGAAGCGTATATAATTGTACAAACTGGAAGTAATGTGGTTTATATGCTCTTCGAAAGAGAGTGTGGTATATTATAACACCTAAGTATTTTGTGTTCTTGGCCTTTTCAAGAACGCGACACGTGCAGGAGCTTTACGGTGGTATACAGCAATCATGAACAGTAAAGATCTCTTGGCCTTTTAATGCTGGTGTGCTAATACAAAAGGGAATGTATTGAGTTTTAGTTGCATTTATAGATAGCTAATGTGTATCAAGCTATTATCGGACTGTTCTAAGACCAGTTTGGGCAACGGAAACTTCTTCCCAAGATAGACCGTAAAAGGTAAGCGCGGTGTCATCAGCTTAACACATAACCTTATAATTAAGAATATTAATTTGAGAGGTTATTAATACAGCATCAAAAGAGGGTAGGGCCTAGAACGCTGCCTTGGGCAATGCCGCGTGTAATACAGCAATCATAGCTTAAAATATCATCAAATGGTGTACTGAGTGCGATTGTGTAAGTAGTCGCCTAGGGAGTCAGGTACCTTTGATGACTAATTTCTCTGCAATTGCGTAAAGTGTGGAGAACGTAAACTGTATCAAACGCTTTTGAAAGATTCGAAAATATAGTTAAGACTTGAATGGTAGTCTAGGTTTAAAACAACGAAATTCACAAACAATCTTACTGTTTTTGTGTAGATTTAAATTTCCCGAAACCAAGTTAATTTTCAGACAGCAATGTACTTGTTTCTAGATATTCTAAAGGTTTTTGAGGGACTTAAAATAAGTAACTGAATACATTTTTAGAATTGTCTGTCTGTCGTTCTGTCTGTCTGTCTGTCAGTTTGTTTGTTAACGAGTCATTTATAAAGTACTGATTTATAGCAAAATAAACGTTATCAAAATTGTGAAGCGTACCTTCGTTTTAAATTTAGTCTTTGTTTCATTAAAATCGATTCATCCTATCAAAAGTTATGATTTATATTCTAAAGTATGGGTACGAATTTGTTCAATGTTGGCGTTGAGTGATCAAGGACATTTTCGTAATTAAATAATGTAAAATAGTGTTCTATAATGATATAATTGTATCTAAACGCAGTAAACAAAAATAATAAAGAATAACGTATAATAAATATATAAATCCTTACTTATATCTTAGTTATAAAAGTACAATAGTTAACCAATGTCATCGATAGATGGTGTTGTGCAAATTATTTATTAAATTTTAAGGTGTGCTTATAATTTTTTTCTTAAGCGCCGAGTATGGTACTTACAACATGGTAAATCAAATTTTGAAAGAGCTATTAACAATTTCTTTGGGTTCGGCAAGGATCATAGAAGCTTGGCAGTAAACAAAGGAAAGTACTTCCTACTTTCTTATATCTCCACTTTCCAAAAGTTTTAAAATTTATTTTACATTGTTTTACATTGTCGTGAAATTGAAAAATTACGTTACCCAGTTTTGAGTTTACTTTATATTATACCTACCCATTCTTTTCTAAATGTCATATAATTTTTATTTTACTGTAATAATAAATTAACTACTATAATTTTATATAGATGGCGCTACAAGTATTTTAAGCAACATAAGGTATAATTATAAATGAGATATGAAGTTATATATACATAATACGAAATGTGTAAATAATCACTTTGTTTGCTTTGTTCAACGCAATGTTTGTATTGGACCAGCAAATCTAAGTATCTTCCTTTTATCCAATAAATTTTACAGCATTAAAGTCTACTGCTGAACATAGTACTCCCCATTTATTGCCTCAACAGCATAGTTAACAGTTAGTTTTGCCATTTACCGAAAAAAGTCACTGTTCGCTGTGTATCTACTATATCTATAATATACTCTTTATATACTGAGTCATAGATACCAGTGCACAAGCTCAACCTAAACAGCTTCAAGTAGAAATCTAAAATTTGGCTCTAAATCGAAATCTAAAACCATGGCATGATCCTGACATACCTCTTTCGTATCCTTTACCATCCATCCATATACGCTCTTCGATTAGGGGTACTCCTAATGTGGCCCATTTTCAAAATATCGCGAATTTTGTTGATGAACCTCTTCTAGGGCGTCCCTTCCCGACTCTGCCGTTCACATCTGCAATATTAATTTGCTTTCTCACTCACAACCAAAGCATTCCTTTCTTAATCCTGGTCACAACATCATCTTGCGCACCACATTTTTCTCTTGTCACGCAATTTCTCACACTGTCATTCAGATTCAGCTCTACACACTCCCGCATTTCTGCAGCATTTATTCTACTTTCGTGCTTTTCTGCCACACCCAACGTTCACTACCATACATTAAAGTAGGAATTAACACAGCACTATGAATTACCATATGTGTCTTTTTTGACATTTTCTGATTCTTCATAATAAAGTGTGCATTCAGTCGTCTGACTGAGATATTGATGTTAAATCAGCATTAGGGACAAATGGAGGAGCTAGCTTGTCAATGAAATTTTTCAGCTACAAACTAGGATCTTTTCAAGAGGGATTAGAGTCAGTGGAAACATAGCAAAAAGCAAGGTACAAGGTGTACAAGGTGATAATGATTCACAAAACTGATATCAACCCAGAGATTTTTTTGAAAGTAATCTTGTGCAAGCGGATTGTCTCTTATATTGCAGGTAATTTTCCATGTTTAAAATTTTAATATAATCATTTTCAGCATTATTACGGGATTTAACATTAGCAGAGCATTCAGCATGGTAAGATGTTGGGGAAAGTGTGGCTTTCTCTCTACATTTTATTTGAGGGATACATTCATCTGTTGCTAAATGTATGCATGAAATGTATAAGTAATAAACTTTGAGAAATTTGCGGCCATCAACAGAAAAAAATGAACAGACTTATGCTCCAGTGTTGTGAAGTATTTATCCCACTTTGTCTTAGAAGTAGTAGGAATGGAATAGAGATATTACAATAGGTAAGCGATCACTAGTTAGTTCTGAGGAACAGAGCAGGAAAGTGGTGAAAGTAAACAAGGTGACGCTAGTATGAGATCTGGAATGCTAATATTGTGGGTAGGAGATGTTCTGCGATTTACAGAACCATCATTGGGAATGCACAAGTTAAGATCATCCAATAGATCAAGGAGAGAAAAGGAGATAGAGTCAGAAGAATAGACATAGACATAGGTTTTATTAGCATCAATACACTCACAAAATATACATTTAAAAGTAAATAAGAACATAAAAAACGAAAGATACAAGATGGTAATAAATCGTTTCAGCATACATTTCTACAGGTACTGCAGCAGCGCTGATTCTCAGCGGAGCCCTGATAAGTATTAATTCGATATTGCGCCCGCGTCGTTATCGGTGCTAACTTTCCATTTTAAGAATAATGCGAATTGATCAACCATTCACTCAAATTATAGGTACATTTTTTAAGTATAAACATAAAAGTAAAATAAAACAGATAATACGTGTATACGCACTTATTATCTATGTGTTTTTTTTACACTCATACATAAAATATATTATACTTATTATATATTATATACACATTAATTATCCATATATATTTGTTAAATGGTGCTTATGAAATAACGCTGTATTCGCGCCACAAGCGAAACACACCGAAGCCTAAATCGCGCTATCTTTATTTTTATTTTTAATTGACTTGAACTTTAAAACCGTTTACAGATTTAGCTTCCCATATAGGTGGTGGTAAATTATTCAACATTTAGTGGCCATGTATCTAAAACTGCCACGAAACGCGGCTGTTCAGTGATATGGGATTGCCAGAATTGGTGTTCCCGTTCTGATGCTTCGACCATCAACTGTTCTTCTCCATTTTAATTTTTGAAGGAGATATTCCGGTCTTTCTGATTTTATGCATCCGAACGAAACGTAGCTAGATGTAGATCTCTCCTCAATGACATCCTTAATATGTCCAATTTATTGAGATATGGACGTGTAAGTACATGATGATATCATCATCGGATATCGGAAAACAGTTGAGTCGCGCATGCACAGTTGATATAAACGCGCGAAAATTGTCATAATAAATAATTATTGTTTATTTAGATTGTATTGTTAATCGAGTACATTTTTTTTAATTTTCGTTTATTTTGCATATGTGCTAATTTTATATAAAAATTATTAGCGCCGCTCCGCAATGCATGAATATCGAAGCCACAATAGCAGGTGTACGGATTGCAGTACAGTTCAGTTGAACATAGTGAGTGCTTGAAATGCCAAATCTTGTGCATAGTACATATATACATTGACTTATATATTACTAGCGTACATATATATCGATGATTTGTATATTTTTTAAATTTAATTCTATAATCTACCATCTCCCTAATAGCCATTCGTTTTAAACAATTCTGTGAGGTTGTTTGTAAGAAATCGCTGTCAGAGCGATAAGAGCGCCTGTTCCATATATTTACTTATTATTAGCCAGTGCTTGACCACAATTCCACTTCGTGGTAAGTGGTGATGAATCCCTGGATGGTAAACCGCATTGTCTTCGCGTAACAAAAGCCTATTCACTCTTGCCTTGAAGACGCCTAGCCGGCAAATTATTCCACTCATTTGATGTACGCATTTCAAAAGACGAAGCAAATCGTTTAGTTTTAATGTGTGGAATATCGACGACAAAAGGGTGAAGACCTGCCGACGCCTGTTTCCGACAAAGGATAGAGAGGAATTAAGGGATGTAACTCCTGCGCACACCCTGCGAAATGCATCTTATAGAATACAGAGAGGCTGGCTACTCTGCGCCTGTGTTGGAAGCTGAGAAGATAGATTTCAACCAAATCAAGGTTACCATTAAGCCTCTTAGCACGTCTCTCCACTGAGGCCAAAGCTGCTGGCTCCAAAAGGCATTTTGCAGCATCAGCCCGTACGTGAAACCAGTACTCCATGCATGACTGGACTTGCGCTTTATATAGTGAAGTTCCGTCGCACTCTTCCTTGCAAGGACATTTAGTTTCTTTCAGATAAATCTTAGCCACTAACAACTGAAGGTGGTCAGTGTACTCCAAGGAAAGTAGTTCGGAAAGTAGTCGCCAGGGTGATCGGGTTTCTTTTAGCGGTGAAAAGTGATGCTTGTGTTTTGGAGGCGTTGAATTTTACGATATTAGTATCGCCCCAATCGTGCAGTGAGAGATTCGTACACTCAATCAAAGCTTCGAACTTCGAAATATCGAACTGCCCTCACCTAGTAAGGGATCGTTTTGGAAAATCGCAAAATAAATATTAATTTACTTTAATTACAGAATAATTTCAGTAAGTCTCGAGTCAATCGCCCCGCAAAATAAAAAAAATCTCATAACCTATTACGCTCTCTTAGGGGTTTAATATTCCTAAAGTTCTTTTTTAGTGGATGCTTACGACTTATAAAGCAACATATATTGTCCTAATTTCTACGCTTCTATGCCCAGCGGTGGGCTATTCATCTTAATACAATATTCGTAATATAAAGTTTGCACCCTTGTTTCAAAACCCTTATATTTTTTATATATTTTCTTATTGTTGTAATATATAAAAAATATATTTTAATTTAAGTGTATTTGCACCGTTCTGACAATAAAAAAAAACATTTATTATTTTCTTCTCATACAAATTTGAACACACTGGCTTCTCCGTAAGAGGTTGTTTTGAAAAATCGCAAACTGTAAATTTATTTTATTCACAGAGTATTTTCTGTAAGTTTAAGTCAATCGTGTTAATTCAATGAAAAGTTTCATACATACTGTAACACCCTATTTACTCTTAGGAGTTCCTTTCTTACTCAACGCCTACGTCATAAAAGACATCTATTGATTTCTACGGCAAGTGGTTTGGGCTGTCTATTGATAGATGAGTCAGTCACTCAGGACATCCTCTCTTATATATATGTAAAGTAAAAAAAGTAAAGTTACTGCCTATATACGTCCCACTGCTGGGCACAGGCCTCCCCTCATTTCTGAGAGGGTTTGGTTTTAGGGCAAGGAAGTGTCCGTCGCCCCGCCCCATGCGTGTTGGCGAACATCACAAGTCTTCGAAATATATTTTTTTTCCTTAATCCTCAGACGTGCAGGTTTCCTCACGATGTTTTCCCTCACCGCAGAGCACGTGGTAAATCAGCACTTAAAATTGCAATTTACAATTTTATTGGGGCCGGCGGGGATCGAATCGGGGTTACTCGCGTTCTGTTATATTTACAGCGAGCGTTAACCATCTGAGCTACCACGGCTCTACTATATATATATATAAGATAAATTTAATCCAATCAAAAACTTAAAGATATTAAAATTTTATTTTTCTGTGTACTGTTAAGGTAATAAAAAACGTATAGAAAAAGAGCCGCGCTTTAATTCCGCTCTCTGGTAGAGAAACAGGTGCTTGGCGGGCAACGGTAAATCAGTTATCTGCAGTATCGAGCTCACCGCAACGTCGGCAGTCGCCGGTCGCTCAGTCGTTGCCGCGGCCTTAACCGCCATGGGTCGAACGCTATACTGTTTTACCGCGTACGCGCGCCCTTTGATTAATCCGAACTGTAGATATGCGACCACAGGTTGCCCGTTTTCTAAACGCCAACGCTCCCAAATAGCACCAACGGCCGCCCTTAATGATGAAATTTTCGCTAATGCGAAACCTTACTCCGAGGTGCCCGGACCCAAACCGATTCCAATTTTGGGCAACACGTGGCGAATGGTACCAATAATTGGACAGTTCGATATTTCAGAGTTCGCGAAAGTGACTAAAATGTTTCTCGAGCAGTATGGTAGAATTGTCAGACTGGGGGGTTTGATCGGACGGCCCGATCTCCTTTTTGTTTACGATGCAGATGAAATTGAAAGAATGTACAGACGTGAAGGGCCAACACCATTCAGACCAGCTATGCCTTGCCTCGTTAAATACAAATCTGAAGTACGGAAAGATTTCTTTGGTGAGCTGCCAGGTGTTGTTGGAGTGTAAGTACATTTTAGAATATTATAAACAGTGTAATGCAAATGCGTGAGTGTTGAATAGTGAAAGACGGTGAACGGCATAAAACAGGAAATGTCGCCCTCCTTGTTATAGACAGTATTTTTTCTTCTTTACTCTCATAAAGATACTTAACTTATAATATATCTGTTTCATTCAGGTAAAGCTTGAAATATTTTACTTTGAGCTTATGACAATTGAAATTAAAATACATTTGAAGTATAGTCGATTACCGAAACTATTTCTTTCTTTATTAAAATATTATTTGCTCACGGCATTATAATTAAGTATTAGCTTTCACTTTTCTCTTTATAGATATCCTTCTATAACGATAATTGGTAATCAACAATCAAACAGATTAGAATATCTATGAAAACATTTGCACTTTCACGATCTATTTATTTTTCAAATATTCAGATTAGTGTTCAGTCGACAAAGTGGTAAGACATTAACAGTTTCTACTTTGTATCTAAGTTTCAAATACATGATTGTTGAAATACTAAATAACTTCTATATTGTTCGCAATAAAATTATAGTTAGTATATGTACTAACATAGAAACGGATGAATCTCTTAACCATGATACATAGCAAATGTTCCGTGGCCGTTCCACTTGATTGTCTAGTTTCGTAAAAACCTTGAAAGTTAAATATTTTTGACCACGCAACTGTATATTAAAATGCTCCTGCTGTGAAGCAAAATAAGTTATATGTAATCATATCTTACGATTCACATTATCATACAAAACACAAATGATATGGAACTTTTTAATCCCACACGCAAAGTAAGCTGTGGTGGATCTGGGGCTAAGAACTCGTCGTAAATTATATAGTAGATGAGCCGACCCAGATTAATGAAATGAAGACCTATCAGGACGCGAGTCCTATTCGCACAGGTCCGTTTTTTTGTTAATTTTTATATTACAGTTTTTTATTGCAGAAATGGAAATAAATTACAATGCGACAGTCTTATAGTTTTAGAAAGCCTCGACCAGTTAAGTGTTAAAATTAAAAAGATAAAAAGATTACCCTCGTACATCACACCAAAATTAGCTGTTACATTAATTCAAAGCAAAAGCATCCAATTAAGTATGTCACGACGGACTCGGACTATGCAATGCTAGACTAGTTGAACGACCCGCGTAGACTAGATATCGTGTGGTTAAAAGTTGAAGAAAACGTTCACATGTTCTCCTTTAAATTATCAATATTCTCGATAGTAGGTGGATTAAAAGGCTTTACCATGTTAGTACGTGGCTCATTCTACTTATTTTAATATAAATATTTAAAAAATATGTAGCCTGGTTTAATGTTAATGGCTTATCGTTTAAAACGTTTAATACGTTTAATATTTGTTGTTAGAACATGGAGTAAAAAGATATCTACAAGGTAAATATAACAGTAATATAAACCTTGGCTAAAACTCTCAGTCTGCTTCAGAATACCTATATATTCAGAATATAAAATACAGAATAATATTTTGTATTGTTTTCTGAGTTACATTAAAATTACATTTAAGCTTTTTGAAAATATATACTTAAGTTAAATATTTATGTCACTTGTAGATTAAATATACTAATAACTAATAAGTATATCTTGCAAAGTAAAACAAGTAGATACGAACAAGCCCTTGGCGAAAGTTAGTTGTGGAGAAATATGTAGTTTCCTTCATTTTAAACGTCTCATCGTGCTGAACTAGTAATGTATATATCTATACTTTTCTTTTCTTTCCTTTTTTTACTTTGACTTTTTTAGGATTCTTTACGTAAAAAGGAAAAAAGGGAACTCTTAAAGGATCACTTTTTAGGGTTCCGTAGTCAACTAGGAACCCTTATAGTTTCGCCATGTCTGTCTGTCCGTCTGTCCGTCCTCGCTTAATCTCTGTGACTGTTAGCACTAGAAAGCTGAAATTTGGTACCAATATGTGTATCAATCACGCCGACAAAGTGGTAAAATAAAAATTGGAAAAAAATATTTTATTAGGGTAGCCCCCCTATATGTAAAGTGGGAAGTGATTTTTTTTAATTTCAACCCTAACGTGTGATATATTGTTGGAAAGGTATTTAAAAATGGATAGGGGTTTACTAAAATCATTTTTTGATAATGTCAATAATTTCGGAAATAATCGCTCCAAAAGTAAAAAAAAAACAAAAAACAAACCCCCCCTGTAACTTTTGAACCATAAGTTTAGAAAATATGAAAAAAAATGTGAAACGTAGAACTTTATAAGGACTTTCTAGGAAAATCATTTTGAACTTGGATGGAAACAACAGTACCCACTACCGGGAGCAGTTGCAGGAGCGCGGAGCGCTGCTGGAGCGCGAACATAATGGATACCCACCTTTAAACTCATAAGTGGGAACACTTATTGTGACGGACGGGAAACTACGGAACCCTACACTGAGCGTGGCCCGACACGCTCTTGGCCGCTTTTATTTCTCCGTATGGACTGTAAGGACCATCTTTCATAAAAACGGATAGAGGTTTTAAGTTGAAATTAATAACAAATACTATGGATGTCGTAAGAGGCGACAGAGGGACAGAATATGGGCAGTAGCATCTTCCCGATACCAACTCAAAATTATAAAAAACTGTGGTTGCCAATCGGCCTGCCAAGCGTGGCAACTATGACAAAATCCCCCTATGAGACAATCTATGGGGGAGGCCTAAGGCCTACGGTTTCTTGGAGGTGTAAAAAATTTTAGTCTCTAGGCATAAAAATAATACATTAAAATATACGGCCATTTATGTCACACATTATTTTGATATAAGGTGATTTCCGTTGACCTAGAATTTTGAGAACACTTAGAACATTTGGTAAGAAGAAAGGTGTCGCAGTACAAGTGAAGGAAAAAATCTTAATATTTTTTTTGCGATTACCAGCTTACATTTGCAGTTGGAGCATCGCCTATAATTTCGACTGATATACGTGAGTCTAATATTCTATAGTAGTTTTGACGTTGATATTGATAATTAGGGTTATTACAGGACCTTCAGCGCGTGAATCCCACTCGCCATAGCTCGTAAAAATAGATTTGATTTATAGTCAGCTAAGATTTTACTACGTTTTGTTTATCCGGTAACCATTTTTTACCTGTACGCTTTTAAGTATTTTTTAGAATTAGGGTGAGAAACGAGAACGCTGTTCACCTTATGGTAGGTAAATACTGTGACCCATGGCCATATTATACATTTATCTTCGATTAAAAATCAAAATGCTCTTGCGTTATGCTCAGAAATAACTCTTGAGGACTAATATGGAGTGTCGCTATTAGCTTACCTTATAATATGTGATCGATGAGCTTACCTATGAATGCCACATTTGCAGTATAAAGGTTCTTTGGTTCTTTCCACTCATTATACGAAACACAGCAGGTGCTATTTTATGCTAGTATTTTGTGAGATCGTGGTTTATATACATAGTATAGAGCTGCAACGTAGCTCTACCACGTTAAAAAACTTTTTTTATAGGATAGGGCGACAAAAGAGCACACAGTCCACCTGATGGTAAGTGGTTGCTGTGACCCATAGACATCTACATTTAATCTCGATTAAGAATCAAAATGCAGATGCGTTGTCACCCATTGAGGACTAAGATGGAATGCCTCGATTCCAGTAAAACGGGTCTCCGGTTCTCTACACTTACTATACGAAACACAGCAGCATTAAGCTGCTATTTTACGCTGGTTTTCTGTGAGAACGTGGTCCATCCATTTATGCTACAACCATAATAACCGCCACGTATAAAACTGTGCATTATTTTCTATGTTGACTTGAAAATGTAGCTATATAGTTAAATAATATTACGAGGTGTAATAATAAGGTAAGCTTTTTAATGATTTAGTACATCAGTAAATTATTACGAAAGTGCTTTTAAATATATTAATTTCTCATTACTAATCGTGATGATCATATCTTCATTAGCTCATAAACAGGCCGCCATTATCGAAATACCGCCATATCCGAAAACTTAATGGTAGAAACGTATGTTACGTTTCTACTATTAAGTTTTCGGAGTATTTATTATGCATTATTAGCGATGAGCTCGTAATTTGAACGTTCGTCAACAATATGACTTTAGAAACGTTAACGTTATCCATCACCAGGACAATGAGACTAACGGCCCATTATTACTATTAATAACTAATAATTAATTTCTATATAAAGCCTTCAAAATTTATGTTAGAAGAAATAGTCAGATGAAGCTGTAAGAGCCGCATAGCCTAACAGCACAAACATCTCGAAAATAAATCTTAGAAGAAATGTATTAAACAATAAAAAGCTTTAATAATATATAAAAATCAAAACATATTTATTTATCCTGGTCACATATATAGTAATCATTTTATTCGACTTATTTCGACTGCCTCGTTGCTCTAGTGGTTGTAGTAGTGCGACTGCTGATCATGAGGTCCTGGGTTCGAATCCCCCAGGTCGGGCCAAAAAATCAATTATTGAGTTTTTCGTCAAGAAATTCTCAGTGCCCCAGTCAGGAAGTTGGGGGAGTCCCACATCCGTGCCTCAGAAAGCACGTAAAGCCGTTGGTCATGCGCCTGATCTCTCTCCCGGTCGTGTCGGTTTACCGTCCCATCGGATTACGAGAGTGAGGGAATAGAGAGTGCACCTGTGCTTGCGCATACACTTGGGCACTATAATCCTGTCCTGCGCCGATGGCTAGCCTCCGTTGAGGCAATTCGGTTTGGAGGACATTATTAATCATTTTATATAAAAAGGGAAATAATGTCATATATAATATAATAATAAGAAAGAAGAAGAGGGGAGTGCTATCGTTACAAGTCGTTCCTGAGATCTTTCTTTATGAGCAGGCATTAGTATTATTATTTATATTTATGCATTCAGTTATTAGAACTTATTTGCATTAAGTAGCGGTTAGATTAGCGTGGTGAACAGCTTTTCAAGAAAATGTGATGTCATATTATTCCTAAAAAAATCTACGTATGGCATTGAGCTTAAAAACTGGTGATGATC